TCGGTTTGCTGAGCATCTACGGCAAACTAGACAGAAAAATCGTTATTATCCGGTTTCACTTCATTTTAATTCTAGTGGACATAATATTACAGATATGTCTATTTCTGGTGTATGTGTTGTCAATGGCAATGAAAATCAGCTCAGGCGTGTCGAGGAGGAAACTATATTCCGCCTTGAAACTAAAGAACCCCATGGAATAAACAAACAGTTCAACTCATTTGTTGAGCTCACTACCTAAGGCGCGTTATTTGTTCTATTGTGGATTTTTTTGTGATTCTAATTTATAGTTCATGCGCGTTCTTACGTTTCTATGTTCTACCTGTACGTTGTAACATTTTCTTCTATGCTATCGATAAAGAGCCATTGCTCGAAACGTCTAGCTATTTTTAATAGTTATTTAGGACTACGATTACCATATATTATCTTCTATTTATCATTATTATTATGACTGTATACAAATTTTATCACATGTTGTAACCTCCTGGTAAAGTTTTTTCTCATTAATTTTGGCTATCAGTGAAGGCTCTTAGCATGTCATGTGTTAATTCTACATACTAACATCTTATATACACCATTATTGTTCAGATTACATTGGATTTGAAAAAAAAAAGCGATTGACAGTCATTTTGAAGAATTGTATGGCAGTTTATTATACCAATAATATGCTAGTTTAATATATCTTTGTACACTGATACGCAGATCCTATTCTGTAAGAGCTACGCCATGTAGAGATCAATCAAATTTCCAGAACAATGTAAATTTCCTGTCATTCAAATCTATGAAAAGTAAGTAGACAGGTATAGTTATGGAGAAGGATTTGAGTGCGGTGGTATTCACTACAGCTATAAGATAATATAAAACACATTGAAATACCTACATGCCATTTTAGCAAATTTGACTCAATACATGAATTAACAAAATCTTAATTTAGCTAAAAAGCCAACAATCTCATTGTGAGAATATACTTTATTCTAAATTAGCAACATCTTGAATTAGCGAAATAACAGATTAACTAAATTCGCTAAAATGACATGTTTTCCAGTATGTTATAAATATTTTGCAAATATACAAGGACACTGAAAGAAGTGATTCTGTCATCATCTTGCAATTCAACTACATGCGAGTTGTATGGCCATATCTTATAAGTTCTGGATATTAGAGATGGTAAATTTAATCAGAATTCAATACTCACTGTTGATGGTAGGAATGTTGACACAAGAAATGCACAGAAGGCAATTCTAATGGGTGATTACAAACACTGCATTTAGACACTTGAAAAATCTTTGCACTGAAAGACACAAGCACTGACTGCTTAAATTTAATAGCACAGATTGCTGACGCAGAATGTTAACAGCACAGATTGCTGACGCAGAATGTTAACAGCACAGACTGCTGACACAGAATGTTAACAGCACAGATTGCTGACGCAGAATGTTAACAGCACAGACTGCTGACACAGAATGTTAACAGCACAGACTGCTGACACAGAATGTTAACAGCACAGACTGCTGACACAGAATGTTAACAGCACAGACTGCTGACACAGAATGTTAACAGCACAGACTGCTGACACAGAATGTTAACAGCACAGACTGCTGACACAGAATGTTAACAGCACAGATTGCTGACACGGAATGTTAACAGCACAGACTGCTGACACGGAATGTTAACAGCACAGATTGCTGACACAGAATGTTAACAGCACAGATTGCTGACACAGAATGTTAACAGCACAGACTGCTGACACAGAATGTTAACAGCACAGACTGCTGACACAGAATGTTAACAGCACAGATTGCTGACACAGAATGTTAACAGCACAGACTGCTGACACAGAATGTTAACAGCACAGACTGCTGACACAGAATGTTAACAGCACAGATTGCTGACACAGAATGTTAACAGCACAGATTGCTGACACAGAATGTTAACAGCACAGATTGCTGACACAGAATGTTAACAGCACAGATTGCTAACACAAAATGTTAACAGCAAAGATTAGTAAAATAGAATGTAATGGCAGACTGCTAACATAGATTGTTAACATAGCTTGCAAAACAATTATAATTATTGTAGCATACATTAAGCAAAGCTAGGAGGATACACACAATTAAATATAACAACCATATTAGCTCTATCAATAGCATGTCTCCAATAAAAGCAACATACCGTAAACCAAATATTGTACTTATTGTGCACTATAAAACCAATTGAACATAACTTATTTTTACAATAGACAGACCTCCACCATAAGTGTACTTGTTCTTAATAGACATACAAACTTCCAAGCACTAGTTTACTAAATTATTACCTTGATTTCAATTCTTCTATTTGGCTCCTCATCTTCTGAGTTTCATCTTTATATTGTTTAATAAGCCGTTCATCTTCAGCAATCTGGTCGTTCTCCAGCTGTAGACGACGAACTATATAGTCCTAAATCACAGGGTCAAAGTAATGTAAATCATAAAATGAACAAATAATTTTTCATAATAATAATATATAGGAATGTATATGTCTCACGAGTATTTGCATTTATTTATTAATTATCTTGTAGATGTACAAAATGGCAAATCAAGTAAGGGTCACCTGAGTCAAACCTGGGTTAACCCGGCCTGCCCTTTCCTGCCCTATTCAGACCTACAATATGCAAATTAGTAGTAGGTTTGAACCTAACCTCTGGATTAACTGCCCATTAACGCCCCCACTGAAAACAAACAACAAAGAAGACAGACTTAGGGAAACCTAGGTTTTTCTTACAATACTGTTTCAGCCAGGTTTCAGTAAAAAAAAAAAATAAGATGTATACTATGGAGCTCCATGTTCATACTGAGTGTTATATTTTGAAGTGTTAAGAATTACAGCAGTGATTTTTTTTTCTTTGCAAGTCTTGTACATGTAAATGCTAATAAAAAACAAACTTGCATTTGTTTCACAAATCTATTTACATCATGTCATTTATAAGTGTGATGAAAATTATATTCATTTATTTCTGTGATTGGTAATAATAATCAGTTTCCCACAACTTACATTTTGGTACAAGTCAATACAATTGTTATTGTTATTCAATTTATCTGGAATTAATTACAGACGTGATGGTTTGTTATATTTAGTCATTAAATGTGAATCAATTAAGTGATACATAAACCCTCTCTATTGTGATATATATGGTAAATTAATGTTTGAAACGGAACAGGAAATCAAAGAAAGCTTAGAAAGAACTCCCATGTGCTGAGAGTATTGGAGACACATTAAATATAATTCGAAATTACTTAGCTGAAAACTAATTATGCAAATCAGAAAATTAATATGACCAGATTTGAGTGTAAAACTAATGAGGTCTGCGCAATGTAACAGAAAATCTATGTCTCCAAGTTTAATTGAAATGTGATTAGAACCAAAAAATTATGAATTATTATGCTTATTAGGGAATTAATATGAACAGATTTTTACCCCAAACTAATTAGGTTTGTACATTGTCCTAGAGCATCTTTATACTAAGTTTCATTGA